ATGTAAAATACGATGTTGAATAGCATCATCAACTCAAAATATATCTATCAATTTCGTATACGTCAATTCAATCATCTATATTGAATTCAAATTGTTTACAACTTACTGATGTACCACTTGAGAAAATGATGCATCAACCATTGGATAATTCTTCAGCAAGCTGAACAACATTTCAATCAAAAAAAGTTCCATTGAATTATGTGCTATCAAGATTTGATAAAGTTTTTGAAGAAGTTGCTGAAGATCCATTACCAACAGACTTTTAAGCATGATGCAGAAAGAAAGAACAATTAGTTAAAACAATTCGTCAGGATGTGGTCTATATTTGTGGTATCGATTTTTATTCAACAGCATTTGAATTCGATCAAATGATGGTTAACGTCAAAAATAAATATCTAACACTTGGTATACTATTAGTGAAGATATGATATGTTAGGTGAAAGACCGAATACTTTTCTCATCTTTACTTAATTTTTTTCTCATTTAGAGTTTTTTAAGCATGACCATTAAAACAACAAGTATTCGCTTATTCATCTGAAGTATTGGTGAAAAAATGAAAATCATACGATCATCGAATGTCAAGACTGATGTTGAAATTTTAAAGATTGACCATACATTTAGTCGAGTAAAAGTCAAACTATTATGTTATATTCTCTGAATTTTTTTTTGTTCTTTTAAGAATGTTTCGTTGAATAAAAAGAACAATCAGAAGAATCGTTGATGCAATGAATACGTATATGAATGTCCTTTAAAAAATGTCTTTGAGAAAATGTCCCCGGGTTTCTGTCCTCGGAAAAAATGTCCTTCGAAATTTTGTCCTTTAAAAAATGTCTTTCAGGTGAAATGTCTTCCCGAAAAATGTCCTCCGGAGAAAAGTCCCACATATAAAAAATGTCCTTTACTTTAAGTCAAGTCTAATGTTAAAATGAAATTGGATCAAGATGCAGATGACACTATAGTATGAAAATGTTGGTAGTTATATCACTTTCATAGAGGAAAGATTGAGAGCAGAATGAAGAAATAAAGAACGAAAAAAGTTAATAAAGAACAATTGAATATACTAGTACTAGGTTCACGAACCGCCACGTTGCATACTTTTAAATGGCATCCCTTGATTCGATAATCAGTGATGAAACATCATTATCTTCATCATCTTCTTTTTTAACAACATCAACTTCATCATCTCCACCATCATTTTTAATATCCACATCATCATCATTATTTTCATCATCTTCACCATCATCATCAACAACATCATCTTCATCATCACCAACTTCGAAACCAGTATCATCATCATCATTTTTATCACCTAAACCACCCATCGTGAAAACAACATCGAATAAACGTAAAACAATGTTATACATT